CAGGTCGAGGCTGCGGTGGCCGGGAGTGGCCACTGCCCTCCAGTCTGGGCGACAGAGTGAGACTCCAACTCAAAAAAAAAAATTATGTTCTGTGCCAAGAAACAAATATTCAGGGGATGAAATTTGTAGTGCAATAAAGGCAGAGGTGTAGGTCCTCATAAATATTTATGGATAAAGAAATGTTATAAATTACATATGTAGTTTATCTTTTAATATTTAGTTTTCTTAGATAATAAAATTTAAGTGTGTGTATTGGAACCAATTTTTTTACATTAAAATTATTTTTTCTTAAAAGTTGTGATTTTATTTGTAATCATTTTTACAGTGATTAGTTTTCTCTTAAAAAATAAATTTACTGCCAGGCTCAAAGTATTGCTCCGTGCCTGTAATCCTTGCTATTCAGAAAGCTAAGGGAGACAGATGACTTGCCAGAAATTTGAGACCAGTCTGAACAACTTAGCAAGACACCATGTTTTAAAAAAAAATAGTTACTAAATTTGTTATGGTGACTTATGTGTTTGTTAGGGACTTAGCAAAAAGTTAAAAAGTGGTGAGAAAGAGAGAAAAGCATCTAGTTTATTTCTGTTTATACTTTAAAAACATTTTCTTGGGTGCTAAACATAAATGCAATAAATTACAAGTTTTTGAAAATTCAGTAATTTTTATTTTAAATTTTGAAATTCAGAAATAAAAGCTTTTGCCTGCCTAGAACTTTTTTGTTTGTTTGTTATATAAGGAAGTCAGTTACAGGCATGAAACACCTCATCATAGACTCTTAGAGCTATAGATGGGCTTTTAAGCACTATCCAAATCACTTTGCTCGTTTTGTGGATGAGTCATGAGAATCTGAAAATGCAAAAACCCCAAACAACTATTAATACCTAAATGTGATTGTTTTCCTAAATGGACCCTTATTTGCTTATTATAATCTTGCTGGGTGCTAATGTTACAGACTGTAAAATTTTACTCAAAATTTGATTTTCACTTTTTTCATTTTGTTGTCAATGTTATTATTTTGACAGCACCTTTAATAAATAGCTTCAAATTGAAGTTCTGAATAATTAAATCTTTCTCAAATAGTATTTGAGCCACATTTTTGTTTTTTAAAGAATCAAACTTGAATGTCTAGTTTGTAGAATTTCTTAATGTCATGATACTAGAGCTGATTAATCAGACTGTATTTTTGTTTTTAGTTTCCGCAGTGTTGAGGTATTTTTGGTTTCTATTTAAGCTTTAAAATCAGTCCAGTGGTCATTTGGAAAGTTACTGTGCTTTGATTAATAAATTTGTAGTAGATATGAGGAGGGCAGATTTTTTAAAACTTTAAAAAAAATAGAAGCTGGGCTCAGTGGCTCAGCCTGTAATCCCGCGCCTTGGGAGGCTGAGGTGAGTGGATTGCCTGAGCACGTGTGTTCGTGACCCGCCTGGGCAACTTGGTGAGACCTCATCTCTACAATAAATCAAAAAAAAAAAAAAATTAGCCGGGTGTGGTAGCGCACGCCTGTAGTTCCAGCTACTTGGAAGACTGAGGCGGAAGGATCGCTGGAGCCCAGCAGGTTGAGGCTGCAGTGGCCGGGAGCGGCCACTGCACTCCAGTCTGGGCGACAGAGTAAGACTTCAATTGGAAAAAAAATAAAAATAAAAATAAAAAAAGTAGGTTGCCAGATGCATGTCTATGTATACTTTTTAAAAAACTTTATATTTTGAGATAATTATATATGTAACAAAACTTGTAAGAGTTTTACACAGATTTTCTGTATACCCTTTGCCTAGCTGCTCCTCATGTTAACATACTTTTTTTTTTTTAAAGAAGTTGGTAGTTTAACATTGACCTAGTTAGCTAAAGTACAAACCTTACTCAAATTTCACCAGTGTTTCCACTGATGTTCTTTTTTATGTTCTTGGAACTCTTCCTTAATCCTACATTGTATTTAGTTGTCATGTCTTCGTTTTGTTTTTTTTTTTTTTGGAGTCTGGGTCTCAATCTGTTACAGTGGTAACAGATTATGGCTCACTGCCGCCTCGACCTCTTGGGCTCAGGTAATGGCTCATGCCACAGCCTCCCGAGTAGCTGGGACCATGCCTGGCTAATTGAAAAAAAAATTTTGTCACAGCATGGTCTCACTTTGTTACTCAGGCTGGTCGCAAGCTTGTGGACTCAGGCAGTCTTCCTGCCTCAGCTTCCCAAAGTGCTGGGGTTACTTACAAGTGTGAACCACTACACCCGGCCTGTCATGTCTTCTTAATTGCAATCTCTCCTTATCTTTCATAACCATTAGTTTTTTGAAGACTACTGTTAGTGTTGTGTATGTGTATTGTGGACAGGGGTGGGGGGGGATAGCATGCCTCTCATCTTCAGTTTGTTTGGTGTTTTTTCATGATTAGGTTGATATACCTTGAGGATGAATGCCATAAAAGTGATGTTGTACCTTTCTTAGTGCATTATATCAGACAGTATTTGGTGTCCATACATCTTATTACTGGTGATATTACTCTTGATCACTTTGTTAAGGTGGTGTCATCTGGGTTTCCCCACTGTAAATAAAGTTAATATTTTTCTCTTTGTAATTAATGAATATTATGGGGAAACTACTTTGAGACCATGGCAATATTTTGTTTCTTCTCAGATTTTCAGCTACTAATTTTAGTATCTCTCTGTGCATCTTGCCAACAACTATTATTGTAATGTTTGCATAATAATGTTCATTACTTGGATATTTCCTGGTTGGAAGTATGTTAGGAAGAGTTGTCCTCTTCTCCATGGACTCATTAATGTCTCCTATGAAATAAAGCTTGATTGTTTTGGCTTTGGTCATTGACGTTTGTCATTATTTGGTCATTTGGTCAAGTAGGCTCCTGTATTTTTTTAAAATGTGTCCTTTCCTCTTCTAATTCTGTTTTGAGGAATTCTTCTTTGCTGTCAAGTACCACAAGAATATTTTGGCTTATATATTCTCTGTCTCTCCTCCCTGTTTCTAAGGAGAAAAGCCAGCTATTTTTTAAAAAATGAAGTCAGGTGAAGTAGTAGTAATGAGGCCAGAAATTTCAAGACACGAAAGAATAGCAGACATAGTAATTACGGATTTTTGGGTAGGTATTAATAAGGTGAATATACTCATCTTTGTAGATTGATTTTACAGTTATTGAATGCTTTCTTTTTACAAGTCATTGTGGAAGATTCAGAATTTTTTAATATGTATACACACACATAAATCTGTCTGTCCTCATTGTATGTGTGTGTAACTGTATCTGCCCTCAGTGTTTTTGAGGTCTGATATATAAAGCATGTACTTTGTAACTAGTAATATATACTGTGGAGGTATTTATTTTTCAATATAAAAATTCTGTATGAGCCTTTAGAGGAGTTAAAGATTAATTTTAAGTTAAGGTAACCCATCAAAACTTAAAACAGGGTAACGATTGAATTGAAGAAAGAAGGGAACAAATATTGACTGCACATTATTTGTCAGATAGTGGACTAGGTGTATGAATAAACTCTGTAGATATTTTGGAACCCTGAGATAAATAGTCTCATATCTTTTTTTTTCCTTCAGATAAGAGCCTGTGGTTCAAGGAAGTTAAGTAAATAGTAGTGATAGAACTGAAATTCCAGAATCAATCTTTGTGGTTCTAAAGCATATTTTGATTGAACTGTGCTAGTGGACCTCATCTTTTTTTTTCTGCCTTTACACAGTTCACATGTACAGCATATTCCTTTTAGTTAATATCTTTAATTTGTGTGTAATTAATGTCAAATTGGGGAGAAAATTTCTGTAAATGACACATTCCCACACTCATTTCTTGTTAGATTTTTATACTGATTTTTCCCTTTCTTTCCTCCAGCCTTTTTCTCTTTATAAGGTACATACTTACCTCTCAGATGAGTTGCTTTTGCCCTGGTGAAGAGACAAGGAGGAAGAGTAATCTGGGAATAGAAGCTTAAACCAAAGAGAAGAAAAATTTGAGAATGTTTGAGGAGGAAGGAAGGATCTAGTGTTTTTTTATTTTTATTTTTTTTGAGTTGGATTCTCACTCTGTTGCCCAGGCTGGAGTGCAGTGGCACACTCATGGCCACCACAGCCTCGACCTGCTGAGTCAGGCGATCCTTCCACCTTAGCCTTCCAAGTAGCTGGAACTACAGGTGTGCGCTGCCACTCCTGGCTTATTTTTTGATTTGTTGTAGAGACGAGGTCTCACTAAGTTGCCCAGGCTGATCTTGAGTCCCTGAGCTCAGGCAATCCTCTCGCCTTGGTTTCCCAAAGTGGCTGGGATTACAGGCTTGAGCCACCATGCCCGGCCTGGAAGCGTCTAGTTTTGATAGATAATTTGTGAAAGATAGGAGGAAGAACATATTCCCAATATGTACTCTGTAACAGTGTGAGAAAGGAGAACTGGCAAGTATTGTTAAATTGAAATATTATTGCCTTTATAATATGAAGTTTTGTTTGTTAACTTCCTCTCAGGATATTATCTTCCAAATGATGATGGAGAATTTTATCAGTTCTGTTATGTTACCCACAAAGGAGAAATTCGTGGAGCAAGTACACCATTCCAGTTTCGAGCTTCTTCTCCAGTTGAAGAGTTGCTTACTATGGAAGATGAAGGAAATTCTGACATGTTAGTGGTGACCACAAAAGCTGGCCTTCTTGAGGTTGGTAGTAACAGTGGGATAGTGATTCATTGATAATTTTAAGAACGGAACTCCTATTGGTTGGCATTTTAAGAATTTTAAGATTATGCAAAAGTAGCCACAAAAATCAAATGCTTTCTAACTAAAATAATTTAGAACGCCTTCCTTTGAAATACTTAAAACATCTTTTGGTCACAATTATGATATTAGTTCCACTGTGGCAGGGCTGTCCCTAGGCCTGTCACTATTTTGTGCATAGTAGATAATACAATAAATACCTATTTGAGAGAGTTTAGGTATAAAGATTTCCTTATGTTTCTTTGCCCTAACCTTTCTTCTTTTGTAGTGGCCTAATCTGGTCGTTGTAGAAGATTTCAGATTTGAGGGATGAAGCTGGTTGGGAGAGTGATGTAAAGCAATAAATCTAACTGTAATTGGATGTGAACTTTTACTAAACCATAGGCATGTTCTTTCTAAAGTGAATCAGGGAAGCATCCCAGTCTTAATTTAGGTTGAACACTTTTAGAATGATTTTTTTTATTGTTCATTTGATCAAATGAATAAGCCTAGATTATCCATAATTTAAACAGAAAATGTAAAAAGCTGTTTATTGTTTTTGAAAATTGAATATTGTGGAGTCATGGTATTGACTCCAACATAAATTTACTATGTAGATGGTTTAATAATTCCTATACATTAATTTTTTAGTAGTCATTGAAAGACAGAACAGCATTGTTTTCTCATTTTAAGGTCACAGTTCCCAAAAATCTTTATCCTATACCTAAAGAACAAAAATGTTGTATTTGAGTTACTGTGATTAATTATACACAGTGCCCTCTATTATAGTAATAAGAAATATAGCTTCTTAAATTGGTTCAGTATACATTTTTAGTTAATTTACGTTTATAGTTTGTCTCCTGCTTTATAGTCAAATGAACATTTAAACATGTAAATATTTAATGCCTTGGTTTTGCATTTATTTACCTTCAAGAACTGAGACTAGAGAAAAAAAGACAAGAGGTTATAGATGCAATACTTTCATTAGACAGTCAAACCCGAAGGTAGAAGGTGCCAATCATTTTTTATTGTGAATTCTTTCATATCTTTCCTTCCCCTTTCAGAAATTCCACTCTTATCTTAAATAAAGAAATGTAACTTTTATAGGGTGACGAAAACATTTTGTGGTGACAACTGCCTGATGATCAAGGTTTTTAGCCTTGTGTTTTAATGCTAGTCAGAAATGCTGAAACAAGCCCAACTCTTAAGAATGCAGTTAGCATTTATATTGCAGCTTTTTGAATACTTGTTAGACCACCCTGATTTCAGAACCTCCAACAGAAAAATGGTGAATGTTTTGGCATCCATATCTCTTATACTTTTTTTCCAAGTAGATTGAGACATAGTGTATTCTATTTCACTTCTTCCTACACCACAAAGGGCATTTTATAAAGATAACTTACATTGCTGTTTCTAGGTAAATATTTCTGAGACAGTGTTTTCATATTTTCTGACCAATATCTTGATAAATATTTTAAATTTCTGCATTCATTAAAATCTTTAATGATTTTATGTAAAAATTACACAAAATTAATACAGATGTGAGACATCATCTGGGACACTGTTAACATTAAAAGTGATTAATGAGACATAGTCCTGCATTGTGTGAGCCTTTGTTATATCCTAAATTTTTTAAAAAGAAGTAGCTCAGGGATAGAGGGAGCTATTTGACTATGGCATATGTATTAAATGATATAAAACTATTCATAATTTTCTTAGCTATGATATAGTAGTAGTTGAAAAAGCAGACTGTTTCTGTTAGAAGATACTTTCTGTGAAGTATTCAGCAGTGAAGTGCCTGCAGTTTCATTTCAAATGGTTTAGCCAAAAAAAAAAAGAATTACATAAATAAACTTAAGTATATTAAAAGAGATAGAGTAAACATGGCAAGGTATTAATGATTAGTGAATTCAGGTGATGGGTATTTGAGTATTGAACGATTTCAACATACAAAATTAGGGGCAGAAATTAGACATATACTTTTTATCTAATTTAAATTCTTTAAAAAAATTTCTACACAAGCTTTAGTAAACTCATCAGAAAGTATATGTGAATTGAATAAATCACTGGGAAAAGGTGATTCCTTTATAATGTTTGGTTGTACTATGTAAAGTATTAGCTCCATTTTTTAGCTATCAGAAAGTTTTGAGCCAGATTTATTGCAAAGTTAATAATATTTTCTGGCTGTATACTTACTTGGTTTCAATTTTCTGCTGACTTTATTGAATGCCATTTATTGCAATCTACCTCAAATGAATTTTTAACAATAGGTAAGGTATAAAAGAAATTCAGTGATTGAATAAATACATTTTTCCCAGTTTCAGAGTATTTATTTGCTGCTGGCGTTACGATTTGATTTGTTAGAGCAAGTAGAAGGGGCATTCAAAAAGATTTCAACCAGTCAACTGTCATAAGAGCCATTTTAGAGGTCAATCAATTCAATTCCATGACCTTGGAAAACTAATTTGGATTGTATTGGGGAAAAGTGTTTTATTTTTACCAGCTAAGTGTACAGTCCTTTGTGGGAAGTCTTCCCTCTGAATCTTCTTTCTTCTCTTGTTAAAATCAAAGACTTCTTGCTATAAGAGAAATATTAACTTTAATTTATTACTATTTTATATCCTTAATTCAGTAAATTTTTAGAGTATTGGAGTTGAGGTTTTCCTGAACTGAGTAATTATTAATGTTCCCATAAGAATCAAGTATGTTGTTCAGTCTGCATGTTTGTCCTAAGATTTGCATTCTTACATATAAAGATTGTTGTAATTCAGCTGAGTAGAAGCCAATTGTATATAAAGAAACTGTATATTCCTTGGTATTTTATTTAAAGAACCAACACTTTTAATAATTCTGTAGACGAAGCCCTTATATAAGAGTAATAGAGTCTAAAATTGTAATAGAGTCTAAAATTTCTCATAGGTTGCATACTTTTCTTTTTGAAGTATTTGTTACTCTGGATAAGATAGCCCAGTAATCTAGTCACTTATGAAACTTAATATGTCTTATTTTTAGTACTGATTTTATGAGTAATTAGCAGATAACTTTTTAATAATTTTTTCTCAGTTTATACTTTCTTTTGATATTTTTCTCTTTTGCTCAACCAAAAGAAGGTTTAAATATATGATTCATGAATTTTTCTAATTGAAGGCTAGAAGACACTGATTGATATAAAGTAGGTAAAATGTAAAAGTTTTTCTGTGTGTTTCTTCACTGTTTTTTTTGAAGTGGAAAACTAAATTTATAGTCACATATTTTAGGATTATGAAAAAAAGCTATTTTTTTTAAATAGTTGAAAATTGAGAAAACCATGAAAGAAAAAGAAGAGCTGGTAAAGTTAATTGCCGTACTGGAAAAAGAAACAGCACAACTTCGAGAACAAGTTGGGAGAATGGAAAGAGAGCTTAACCATGAGAAAGAAAGATGTGACCAACTGCAAGCAGAACAAAAGGTTAGTTGTGTCTTATGTAACTGATTGAAGTTGATAGTATGTTGCCTAAAACCCACCTTTTCCGAGAGCGGAACCAATTAAAGTGAGTGAAAACCAGGTATTGAAAAAAGTAGCTTTTTTAGGTAGACATTTATACAAGAATAGGTCATTTCCTACTAACCTTCTGCCACAGTTACTCTTATATTGTAAAATGGTTAAAATACTTTAAAACTTTTGGTACCAGGCTTGATGAGGTAGTCCTTGACAACTATTTCCAGATGTTTTACATCTAATTGCAAAATGCTCGATGGATTTTTTTTTTCAGGGATGGTTGGGGCAGGGAGGGACATTTGGTAATACAATTAGACATGATAAACACTGAATAAAGGGAAAATAGAATAAAGAAATTAAAAGTAATTTTCCAAACATTAGAATTCAGTGAAATAGGATGATAAGACAGATTTTGAAATTCTTGATGTGAGAAATGCTATACATTTTCCTAAGAAACGCCTAGTTAAAATTGACACAACTTCTTGATCTAAGAAAAAGAGAAGTAGAGTATAAGTAGAAAACAATGTAGCTTCATTAGAGATATAAATAGATTTAAGTTAGAAGTCAAAAGCAAACAAAAAAAGTCATCCAATCATTGGCTTGTTTTTAAATATTTTCACCAGAAAGGTCATTTGTGAGCTCTGGTAAAACTTTTATATAGACTGATCATACATATCACAATCTCACTTATAGTATAACTAGTTGAATATAGCTATTTCCTGAGGGTGGGGTCTGTTCTTTTGGTCCAACAAGGTTTAGAGCAGTTGCTTAATACTTGTTACTTTTGAACCATTCATGCAGTGATTCTCAAACATTGCTATGGTCCAGTGGAGTACTTATATATTGCACACCTGAGCAGAGGTGATATACCCATTTGAACTTTTAAAGTAGGTGTACCAAATGTTAAAACATAGTAAAATCTCATAATATGTGCCTACTATGACTATTGGGACAGCTAATTTTGTTTACTCATTCTTGTAACTGCTTTGCTATTTCGTATAGTTATTACTTTTTTTCTTCATATTTTACATTTTTTGCCCCATCAAGTTGTACCTTGATCTGGCAGTTTCCGAAGTGGAATACTAGTCTGTTTTCTTTCACCCTATTATAAGCCAGAGTGGTGGAGGTGAGATAGAAGAAGACTCATGAAAAAGGCCAATTTCAGGGTGTCCTAAGCCCATGAAATCAGGTAAACCCTGAAATGTGACTTTTGAGGTTTTGACTCTGATTATCTTGAAATCCAAGGAAAGAATGGATGATTGGGTGAATAGGATTGGCAGAATGGTAGGCCTTCATTTATGTGAAATTACACCTATATATCAGGCCTTGCCACCAGTCCTTTTGAGTATTAGCTGAGATTTAAATCGTCTCAGGTTCTCTCTGCTTTCCACGTGATAAGGGGTTAAACACTGAGACAAAGCAAAAGTTTATTCCAACAGACTGAGGTTGAGAAAGTGGTAGACTGATTAATGAGGCAAAACTTGTAGATTTGTGACCTTGATGTTTAGAAGAGATCTTCAGCAGAAGTTTTTATGGCAAATCTTAAATCTTGATGACAGTCGCTAATCTTGGAGGAGACTACTTCTCTGCTGCTATTCTTGCATTGGGGAATAATCTTAAAGTACTTGGAAATCATTTTTTTTTTTTTTAGTCTGATTCTTACTCTGTTGCCTAAACTGGAATGCAGTGGCATTATCATGGCTTATGGCAGCCTCAGACCCCCTAAGCTCAGACGATCCTTCTGCCTCAGCCTCCTGAATAGCTGGGACTACAGGCGTTCACCACCACGCCTGACTAATTTTTAAAAATTTTTGTAGAGACAAGGTCTCACTATGTTGCCCAGGCTGGTCTCAAACTCCTGGGCTCAAGCAATCCTCCCGCCTCAGCCTCCCAAAGTCCTGGAATTATAGGCATTAGCCACCACTCCCAGTCCAGTCAGTGTGCTCTTAACCATTACTCTATACTTACACCTCCAAGGGCTGAAGATGTGATCTGATCTTAATTGATTTTTTTCAGAACAGTATTATTGAGGTGTAATTTATATACCATAAAGGTCACCAGTTTAAAGTGTACAATTCATTGAATTTTAGTGTATACAGAATCATGCAGCCATTACCATAATCTAGTTTCAGAACATATTTGCCCCTAAAAGAAAGCTTATACCTATTTATGATCACTCTCTATTTACCTTTCCATCCTTTTCTGTAGTCCCAGACACCTGCTGATATCACTTTCTGTCTCTATGGATTTGTGTGTTTTGGACATTTCATGTGACTAGAATCATACTATAAGTATCCTTTTGTTACTGGCTTCTTGTACTTAGCATACTCTTTTCAGGGTCCATTCATTTTGTAGTATATATCAGTAATGCATTCCTTTTATTGTAAAAAAAATTCTATTGATGAGTATTTTTTTAAAACCCCATCTTTACATTTATTAAAGACTTGTGTACAAATTTGCAGTTTTTATGTATAATCATTGTGTTCTTGTTTATATTTTGGAATGCTAGATGCATATTTGGAAATTAGAAGTTTGAAAAATAAGGCTCAAAGAACCTTTGAGTTCTTTAGACCAGTAATTTTTAATCTTGTTTTTTAAATAGGACCAAAAACAGCTGTGACTCTATTAAGTTTTTCAATTAGTTTTTAATTTTTTGGAGCCTAGACTATAAATTGAGTTCTTTTCATACAATAAAGTATATTCTTTTCTTTTTTTCTTTTTGTTTTTAAGAGATCGAGTCTTGCTCTGTTACCCAGCCTGGAGTACAGTGTTATGATCATAGCTCACTGCCACCTCAAACTCCCAGGCTCAGGGATCCTCCTGTCTTAGCCTCTTTAGTGGCTAGGACTACATCAATACACTCAGCTAATTTTTTTTTTTTTTAATGGAGAAGGGTTCTTGCTATGTTGCCCAGACTAGTCTTGAACTGGCTTCAAGTGATCTCCGAAAGTGCTGGAATTACAGGCATAAGCCACCATGAATGATAGTATAAGATATACATGATGTACTTCAAAGCATTTTTGAACTATATTATATATGAAGACAAAACAATGTTGCTAAACAATATATGTTACAAACTGTTGCATATATTCTTACTGTTTTGGTTCTGAAGTTTTACAAACTGGGTAGGAGACATCATCAGGTATTTGGAAGGTATCACAGGTATAGGAGTGAGAATGTGAAATATCTTTTATGGTGGCTCTGGCTAGTGCGGATTTCTTCAGCTATCTTTACCTTCTTGGCTTTTTCTTCTTTAACATAAAGATTTTTTTGTGTTGTTGTATAGTGACAGTATATACTGTAAAAAAATAACTTGTCATCATACAGCATTTCTCTTTTTATTTTCTTTCTTTCTTTCTTTTTTTTTTTTTGAGTTGGAGTCTCACCTTGTCGCCCAGACTGCAGTGCAGTGGCATGCTCCTGGCCACTGCAGCCTCACCCTGCTGGGCTCCGGTGATCCTTCCGCTCAGCCTTCCAAGTAGCTGGAACTACAGGCGTGTGCTACCACGCCCGGCTAATATTTGATTTATTGTAGAGATTAAGTCTCGCCAAGTTACCCATGCGGGTCTCAAACCTGCAGGCTCACCTCGGCCTCCCAAAGCGCAGGATTACAGGCTGAGCCACCGAGCCCAGCTCTCTTTTTGTTTTCATTGAACTTGCTATCAAAAAGTAGTTACTTAGTTTTTCTGAGTTTTGGCTTCTCAGCTATAAAAGGTATCTAGTTAACAAGTGGCAGAGCAGAGAACCTGAAAACCCAAACTAGGTTTTCTTGTTACTCCATTATAGTGACTTATAATAACAGGTGCGAGTATGATATGTGTCTCTGTTAATCAAGTATTTGTTGAATAAAGAAGTAAACAATGAGTTTTGGGCCTTGTGGCTTCTGACCAGCTTTTATTGTTATTGAAAAAAGGTGTCATTTTACTTGGGGTATGGTGTTGAAAAGGCTACCTTGGGAGTTGTATCAGATTTTAAAAATATGTATTCAAAAGCTATCATTTTTTAGCAGTCCTGGTTTACTTTATGTGAGCTATTTAAAATGTTTACTTTTTATTTATTTTTAGTGGTTTTCTAGTTTTTCTTTTTAGCAAGTATAAAAAGAGCATTATTTGCATTTTTATCATTTTCTAAATATTCTGACTTTTAAAGGAATGAAAATTCTCATTTGTAGCAGCTAACAAAGGAATTCAAAGATTTTTGTATGACTAAAATTTAACAGTTGTCTCCCTTTAGTGATCACATAACTATGCCACGTTGCCCATTTAACCTATTCTTTATCAAATTTTGTTTGAAAACAAGATAAAACAATACTGTGTTTAATAGCACTAAAGTTATGCTTCACATTTTCTGGAGTCTGGCTTACATTTATGTAAGGTTCTCTTGATCAGATATAATTGTAATAGAAAATCAACCAAATAATCCCTGCAAACGTTTTGGGAAGCCTTTAATACTTGCTTCATTGAACTTGAGAAGCCATATTAAGACATAATATTATTCTATTACCACTAAGAAAAAATGTTTCCAAGTAAACTAAGACATACCATTGATTGTAAGACATGTCCTTATTTCAGAAATGATAGATTGTGAAAAAAAATAAGCATATAGTTTTAATACAGTTATTTTATATCTTTTTGCATATTAATCATTGAAGTGGCTTTCTCATTTTTAGGAGGAATTTTTCTTATCAAAATATACTAAGATACATAATGGCCTGTTTACGTGAAATTCATTGGTAATACAGTTGAAGATCATGTGTATTAAAAGGATAATGCTTAGAATTTTAGAATTTAGGGAACTTCGGGTCAAATGGAGTTCTTTTTGATAAATGGAACTTTACTGTGATGGCTTTGTAATATGTCAGCTTGTCTAGGCTGAACTTACTTCCCAGAATTTTCTTCTTTGTGGTTTGTTTAGAATGAGCCACAGAGAGATTCTTACGTGAGATTTGAAGGCGAAGTGAAGTAACAGCT